TGCATAGGTCAGTTTACCATACCGCTTACTGCGGCTGGGGTCCCAACGCTGACCGTGCCCCAAGCGATTTCACAAGTGAAAGCGCCACTCCCTCCTATAGTCGGCGCGACATTCGCTGAACCATCTGTGGTTCCCCCTAGAGTTGGGCAATCCCAACTTGACGACCTGGTACACTACGTTCAGGCCATTCAGGTCCAAGTGCAATAGGTCCAACAGTTTCATCACTATCAGCAACAAGTCCTCCATCATTTTTACTAGCAATAGTACCAGTAGCAGTTCCCGCCGCTACAACAGAATCCGCAGTCGGTTCCACCTCAGCACCCGGTGGCGCAGTAGAATCAATCCCGTCGTCGTCAGCAGAATTGCTCTCCCCGCCGAGGCGAGACCTCTCAAGTCCCACTTCCTCTTGGGAGTCAGGCCTCTTCCCGCAGCAGGAGGGGCAGACAAGTTACCCCGCCCGCTTCTCAGGGCAACTTGAACAGATCGAGAGACACTCAGCCCGCCAGGGCCACGTTACCTCGGCCTTCTATTCATGGTAGCCAGGCTCAGCACCTAGAGCCACTCCGCGCCAGAACGGTACCAGATCATACGGAAGTCAGCAACACTAATGCAGAGCAAGTCAAGAAGCAGCAACAAAAGCATCGCAAGGCACGACGAACTACAGCTCGTAGCCAGCTCGCCATTCCCAACCAACCAGAGCCAGTGAAAGGTAAAGAGGAGGCGAGCTCAGTGGCCACTAAGACTGCTCCTCTCCTATCCAAGTCATCTCCTCTATCCTCCGAGCTCCTAGCGGTCTCAATGCCAAAAGATTTTAAAATTCCACCTCTAGACAACTATGACGGATTCTTCGATCCAAATGATCATGTAGACTCCTTCCAGTCCCAGATGCACCTAGCTGGGGCTGACGAGTCATGCATGTGCATAGCCTTCTCCACAACATTTAAAGGAGTAGCTCGCATGTGGTACAGGAACCTCGTGCCAGGGACGATCAGAAGTTGGGCGTAGTTCGTAGATTTGTTCACCTTGCACTTCATCACCAGCAAGAAGTGTTCGAGCTCCCAAGAAAGCCTCCTAAATATAGTTCAGAGAAAAGGGGAGTCGATTAGAAGCTATATCAAATGCTTCAACGACACCTGCTTGCATATCCCCGATCTAGATCCAGTAGTGAGGCTCACAGTGGCGAAGAAAGGTATAACACACAAAGAATTTAAGTGGCATGTGGTGGCCAATAAGCCGAAGGATATCACGGAATTCCTCAAACTCGCCGATCAGTTAATCGGGACCGAGGAAGAGATGAACCAAAAGACAGAGTATCCAGCATAAAAAAGGAAAAGAGAAGGTAACGGCACAGGTAACGGTGGCAGCAAGCGAAGAAAGAACAAGTCCCCAACTAGAGGAGGAAACAAGTCTGGGAGCCGATCTCCTTCACAATCTCACAGGTCGGGTCGGCGTTCTCGAACTCCACCAGTTGAACGGACAAGCTACACGCCTCTCAACGGGAAGCGAGGAGAAATCCTTATGGCAATAAAGGACTCCTCCTATGTCAAGTGGCCACCTCGGTTGAGGGGAGACCCCGCCACCAGAAACAGGAACGTGTATTGTTACTTTCACAAAGATCACGGTCATAGTACCAAGAATTGTAGAAACCTCCGCAATGAGATCGAAGAACTCTTCTGTCGTGGATGTCTAAAAAATATCATACAAAAAGAGAATAAAAACCAAGCAGATCGGCAGGAGGAGCAAAGAAGAAATGCTCCTGAGTCCAGTAGCAGGCAGAATGAGCAGCCGCAGAGGCAGTTACTAGAAGAAAGGCCGATCCGCGAAGTAATCAACATGATTACTGGTGGATCCATCATCGCGGGCTGCACCTCAGCGGCGAGTAAAACTTTAGTTCGTGAACTAGAGCATGAAGAGCAGAATCCACCGGAGCGACCCAGGCTCGAAGATCCCATTTACTTCACAGAAGATGATGCACGTGGAATCAAGTACCCTCATGACAATGCCCTGGTGATAAAGATGAGACTAAATGACTTTGAAGTGAAGCACGTCCTAGTGGATTTGGGCAGTTCGGCCGACATTCTGTTCAAGGATGCCTTCGACAAGCTCCAGCTCCAATAAAGTGATTTGAAGCCAACAAATACTCCCCTGGTAGGTTTCAGCGGCGAAGAGGCCAGGCCTCTAGGATGAGTCTCAATACCGGTAGAGGTCAGCACGTGGCCCAACATTGCAAGATTCGAGCACACATTCCTAGTGGTCGCGACTCCCTCCCCATACAACACCATTGTAGGTCGGCCTATTACTCACGCATTACGCGTAGTAGTGTCCACCTACTACTTGGCCATGAAGTTCCCGACAAACTATGGAGTAGGGGTTGTGCGAGGCGACCAGCTTGAGTCTCGCAAATGCTACGTTGCCGCTCTCAAGGGGAAAGCCATGCTAGCGGCTGATATCGAGCTTGAGCGACCTATGGAGTACCCCGAAGAGCGAGCTACGCCAACGGAAGAGACGGTCCACATCCTGGTCTAAACAGAAGATCCAACTAGAACTCTCCAGATCGGCGCTTCGATCGAGGAACCATTCCGTTCTCAGCTGGTAAGTTTTTTAATTAAAAATTTAGATATATTTGCCTGGTCCGTGGCAGAAATGCCCGGCATAAATTCCAAAATCCTAACTCATAAGTTAAATATTGATCCTTTAGTCAGGCTCATTAGATAGAAAAAATGCAACCTCTCCCCGGAGTGCTGGAGGATAGTCGACGAGGAGGTTAGGAAACTCTTAGCAGCCGATTTCATCAGGGAGGTCCATTGCCTGAGTTGGGTAGTTAACCCGGTTCTGGTAAAAAAGGCCAAAGGTAAATGGCGCATGTGCGCCGATTATACCGACCTGAATTGAGCTTGCCCAAAGGATTATTTCCCACTCCCTAAGATCGACCGTCTAGTGGACGCGACCTCAGGCACGAGCTGCTAAGCTTTCTGGATGCATACTCGGGATACAACCAAATCAAGATGGACCCTGCCGACGAGGAAAAAACAGCCTTCATAACCGAGCTTAGACTGTACTGTTACAAGGTTATGCCCTTCGGACTAAAAAATGCCGGGGCAACCTTCCAAAGACTTGTAAATAGAATGTTTGAGCCGTTGATCAGCAACAAGGTTGAATGTTATGTAGATGATATGGTCATAAAGACCCAATTTTTCAAAATTTTTATTGAATGATTTGCAAAGTGTCTTTGAAAATTTGCGTAAGTATAACATGAAACTAAATCCTAACAAGTGCATCTTCAGTGTCACCTCGGGTAAATTCCTGGGCTGCATAGTCAACCAACGTGGCATCGAATCTAACCCCAAGAAAATAAAGGCCATCCTAGATATGAGGCCACCTCGCAAATTGAAGGAGGTTCAGAGGCTGAACAGTCGTATAGCCGCTCTGAGCCGCTTCATGTCTAAATCAGCGGATCGTTGCCTGCCTTTCTTTAAGGCCATTAAGAAAAGTAAAGACTTCGAGTGGACCATAGAATGTCAGATCGCCTTTGACGAGCTGAAAAAATACTTAGTTAGCATCCCGGTTTTGACCCGACCCGAGGAGGGAGATATTTTAAAGTTGTACCTCTCCACGAGTGATGAGGTAGTTAGCTCGGTATTGATAAAGGACATAGATCGGGTCCAACGACCTATCTACTATGTCAGCAAGGTTTTGCAAGATGCCAAAACAAGGTACCCAGAGATCGAGAAGCTGGCATACGCACTGGTCATAGTAGCTCGGAAGCTTTGTCCTTACTTCCAAGCCCACACTGTCATCATCCTCACCAACAAACCTCTGAGGCAAATCCTACTCAAGCCCGAGGTATCTGGTAGACTGACGAAATGGGCCATTGAACTCAGCGAGTACAACATTCGGTACGAACCTCAGATGGCGATTAAGGCCCAAGCCTTAGCCAACTTCATTGCATAATGTACCTTCGCCACCGCAGTCCCTAAACTGACTGAGCTCGAGCACGCAGAGGAAGCTTCAATCAGCATGGCCCCAATCCTGGTCCGAGCAAGTTCGACCTGGGACGAGGAGCCCTAGATCCTCCATGTTGACGGCTCATCCAACCAGCAAGGAAGTAGGGCAGACATTATTCTGTATGATCCAAGCGGGGTGAAACTGGAGTACGCACTTCGGTTCGGGTTCACAGTGTCTAACAACGAAGCAGAATACAAAGCATTTATAGCCGGGCTTACCTTAGCGAAGGAAGTGAAAGTTAAACACCTCATCATCTATAGTGATTCCCAGCTCGTGGTTAACCAGTTCAACAGCGAGTATGAAGCACGCAACCCCACCATGGCTGCTTATTTAGTCAATGTCAAGGAGGTCCTGGACAACTTCCACTCTTATTTCATCAGACAGATTCCGAGGTTCGAGAATGCTGAGGCCGACGCCTTGTCCTGGTTAGCCAACACAAGTAATACAATGAGGACCGGTGTACATAGAGGACCTGCCTCAGCCTAGCATTATCGGGGGGGGGGCAGGAGAGGTTGCTCCTGTAGTACAAGTAGAGCCGAGCTGGATTGACCCACTTGCGAGCTACCTGCTTCACGGGACCCTCCCTGCAGATCGCAATGCGGCCTGAAAGGTAGAGCGCCAGTCAGCGAAGTACGCCATTATAGATGGACAGTTGTACTGGAGGTCTTTCATGCTCCCCTACTTGCGCTTCTTGCGACCCTTAGAGGCCGAGCACGTTCTCCGTGACACTCATGAAGGCTTGTGTGGCGAACACTTGGGGGGCAGGGCTCTTGCCCAAAAAGCGCTGCGACAACGATACTATTGGCCCACAATGAAGGCAGACGCACTCGAGCTTGTCAAGAAGTGTGATAAGTGTCAAAGGCAAGCCAACATCCACCACTGACCTGCTACCGACCTCAAATATCTCACCAGCCTGTGGCCCTTTGCACAGTGGGGAATCGACATTCTTGGCCCTTTCCCGCCAGCGACAGGACAGAGGAGATTCCAGGTGGTAGCAGTGGATTACTTCACGAAGTGGGTGGATGTGGAACCCCTAACAACAATCACGGCCTGTAACATACACAATTTCTTTTGGAGGAATATAGTATGTCGCTTTGGGCTACCTCGAGTACTTATCTTTGACAACGGAAAGTGGTTTGAGGACATCAAGTTCTAGAATTGGTGTGCCGAGATGGGGATACAACAGAACTTCACCTCGGTGGCACACCCTCAGGCAAATGGGCAAGCAGAGGTCATGAACAAAACCATACTCTATGGACTGAAGGCTCGCTTAACCCGAGCTAAAGGACTGTGGGTAGACGAGCTGCACAGTGTGTTATTGGCCTACCGAACTACCGTTAAGACCGCCACAAGTGAGACCCCCTTCAACCTCACCTACGGCACGGAAGCGGTGATCCCAACAGAGATCAAGGTGTCTATGCTATGCTTGGAAGCCTACAATGAGGAAACAAACGACGACGAGCTCCGTACCAACCTCGACCTGGTGGAAGAAGTACGGGACCTGACGTACATTCGGACTGCAGCCTACCAGCAAAGGGTGGCACGGTACTATAACGCCCGGGTCAAGAAACGACACTACCGTGTCGGCGACCTAGTTCTTAGGAAAGTTATGGTACCTGAGTCCGGTGTCGATAAGCTCGGACCGAACTGGGAAGGTCCGTACCGAGTAAGACGGGTACTCGGGGAAGGTACATACGAGCTCGAGACCTTGGAAGGTTAACAAGTACCTCGAGCATGGAATATAGGCAACCTGAGACGATACTACCTGTGATCACTGAACTGGAGAGAGGACTGCGAGTCACTCCCAGAAGTCGAAGGACTAAAGTGTTGAGCTGATAAAAGACATCGGCACTACGATAAGCCCCACTCGCCTCCTCAACATGGGCACATAAGACCCAGTCGCCTCTTTGGCATGGGCAAAACCAAGGGTAAGGAGAGTGGACTGCGAGTTGCTCCTAGAGCCTAAGGGCTAAGGTACCGAGCTGACAAAAGACCTCGGCACCACATAAGTCCCAGTCGCCTCCTCGGCATGGGCATACAAGTCCCAGTCGCCTCCTCGACATGAGCAGACAAGACCTAATCGCCTCTTCGGCATAGGAAACTCCTCTTCATGCCTAAGGTATAGACAGCTCGGGTATAAACCCTACGATGTCTAGCCTACTTCGGCATATAATGAAAAAGTTGAACCCCAGCAAAGCGACAACTAACATTACCAAGTAGCCCGCGCGCAGACAGGTCGGGTATATGCCCTACTATGTCCACACACCTCGGCGTACATCATGCGAAGTTACCCCTATTGGTAGTCCAGCTCGGTAGCTCGACGGTTCGGGGTAACCTATACCTATTTGGTTAGTTCGCCAGTTAGGGAGTTATTCGCACTTAGAACATTTGAAAAAAAGAAGTGCATTTCATTAATATGAGGAGTTCGTTACAAAAAACAAAAAAAAGAGATTTCTACTATTGACCGAGCTCACAAGCCCGGGGTATACAATATGAAGGTCTATTCGTCTGGGCGCTCATCGCTCTTGCCCGAGGCTTCAGCAGGAAAGTTCACCCTCTCGTCAGTACCGGTCTCTTCGATGTCGATGAGAAGGTCGCTGTCACTTTCCGCCTCGGAGTCCAGATCTTTGGCAGCTTCGACAACCATCTCATCTGTGACCCTTGAGGTGGTGATGGCGCTTAAATCGAGCTGCGAAGGTCAGCCACCTACTAAGCTTAAAGTCCTTGCGGTAGCCTTCCGTCCCCGCCTCGATCAACTCTCCATGGAACTCCTCTGAGGTCTTGTATTCCTCGACGGCTTTGGCCTTGGCCTCCTCCACTGCTTGGAGGAGTATCTTGGTTCGCTCCTTGACATGGGCCTCGATGTTCTCCACCTCCTGCTTCAGCGTCGCTTTCTCCCTCATGAGCTCCTCCTTCTCGGACATCAGCAATAATATCAGCTCCTTCTGAGCCCGTGCATCGTTCTTCAACTGGCAAATTTCATTATGGGCCAGATTCAACTCGGCGTGAGCTTCACGAGATGAGAACTCAGCTACAATAGCTCGCTTCAGGTGCAGTTCAGACTGGTATGTCAGAGCGTGCATAGCGGAGTTCACCTGCCAAGAGAAGAATAA